TGCAGCTGGAGGATCCTCAGGGCCTCTGTGGGGAAGGAACCAGGGGGCCCTGTGAGAGCTCTTAGAGAGTCAGTGTTGGGCATAGGTCATGACCCCACGGCATGCCGGGCATTGGAGGGCAAGAGAGGACTTGGGTGTTTACCCCAGGCGAGGTGGCAACCAAGGGAGAGATTTGAGCAGAGGGGGGTGGCTCCCTGACTCAGGTTTTGGTGGGATCTCTTGGCTGCTCTGGGGAGCACGGGCTTTTGTGGGGTGGTGGGGAAGGATAAGGAAGACACAGCTACCGATGAATACCTTTCTTTTTGCTCAAGATCTCCTCTAGGTGCACTTGCTCTCCATTCACTGAAAAACACAATGACACTTTCGGCCCCCAGGGGCCACATCTTGTGTCCCCGCTGCAACTTCATGCAAGGGGAAAAGTCACACAGAGGGGTATTACAGCCCCAGGAGAGGTGAGGTATCTTCTTGTCATCTCTGCACCCATGTCCCATGAGGACCACCCTGTGCCAGCTTCTCCCCCTCTGTCCTCACATCCCCTGTAAGTGCTGAAGAAGTGAACGCACTGAAGCATGTACAAGGTTTGCACTGAAGGGACAGATGAACATAAAGAAATAAATACATGGTGTCAGGTGGAAATAAAGATTCTGAAGAAACAAATGAAACCAGGGAGTGACAAAGGCTGGGAATCTAAAATTAGATGAGACCATCCAGGTAGGCCTGTCAGGGTAGAGTATGAGTTAGAGAGCTGGAAGATGACATGAGATAGCAAGGGGCAAACCAGATTGTGTGGGCTAATGGCACTGTAGGCAAGGGAATAGCCTGTGCAAAGGCCCTGGGGTAGGCACAAGAACATAAGCAGTGGTCATGGGATCTCTGGGTCCCTCTTTTAGCCTCACTTACAGGAGTCTAATTCCCTATGGAGGGCCTCCCAGAGAGCTTGGGTCTCTCCCAGTTCCTCGCTTGATTTCTTCTTCACTGGGCCAAAGAAGGGAAAAAGACACTATGTGAGTGCGGTCTCTGGTTTTGCTGTTCTTTTGCAATTGTGACACTGCACAAACTGTGACATTGCACATTCATCTTCAAACCACACTGGAGGGGCCTAGACTTTGTAGGTGAGGAAATGAAGGCATTCGAAGTCCAGGCGCTCTCTGCTGGCCCCGGCTGGCCAGTCTATGTCCCCGAGTTTACCTTGCTGAATCTCATTAATCCGGTTAATCAGGTCCTCGATCTGTGGCTCCAGGCTTCCCTCTGAAGAAAGGAAGGAAGAAAGAATGAGCTAGGAAGACAGACGCCTGGCTGTCCAAGGAGGGCTGGGTGCTGGCACTGTGTCTCTGCTGCTATCAATCAGCAGGCATACACTGAGCACCTGCTGTATGCTGGGCTCTGAAAGAGGCCCTTGCAAGGCTGGCATTCTGGCTGGGGGAGCTGGACACTGACCAAAGATATATGACAGTGACTGCTGTGAAGAGGAATTAAGTGAGGCAAGGTGTGGGAGAGCAAAAGGGTAAAAGGTGTCTCTTGAGACATGGAAAGGCTCCAAATCAGGTGCGGGAAGCGGGCCCTGCAGTTCTGCGGGGTGGGGAGTATGGCGGGGGGATTGTTCCAGGCAGAGAAAACAAGTGCACGTGCCCTGCAGCGGGAGTGGGTGAGGCACGCGTCCCAAGTGACGGCGAGGGGCTGGTGCGGCTCAGTACAGTGAGCAAGCGGTGAGTTGTAGGAAAGGAGGTGGGGAAAGAGGGACGCGAGACCACTCAGGGCTTCTTGGGCCATGGTGGAAGCTTCCAGATGCAATTCTGAGTGTGGTGGGAGCCAATGAAAACCTCCCACCTGCCCCACTCTGTCAAAAGCCAGGCAGGACTGGTTGTCACTTCTGTCAACCTGGACTCTAGTACTGGCCTCATCTGAGAAATGGGGGAAATGTTGCTTTCATGTTGTGGGTGGAAGCTTGCAAGTTCTCCAGGGACAGGGAGATCACTGTCCCTTTGTCACTTTAGGGAATCACCTCTAACTGCTCCCAGTCCCTATTTCAGGGCTTGGTATGGAGAAGGCTTCCTCTTCATATGCCTCTCTTGCTTCAAGGCTGGCAACACAGAGCTGGGGCAAGAAGCTGTCCAAACCCTTACAGGCTCTCACTGCCAACCTCAAAGACACTTTGGAGTAACCTCCAGCCCTGGATTTTCCAAGGTCACCAAAAGTATGGCTTCTGTGACTTCCAGGAGAGTGGTGCTCTCCACGGTGCTGATTTGAACAGGCAGAAATTCTCTGGGGGGGTCTTTGTTTTACTGGAGATGGTCAGTGGGTCACTATGCACTTCCATTCCTGCAATTTCTCTATCTAACTTTCGCCTAGACAGCAATCCCAACACACTTCGTTTGTGACACACTCCCCCCACAGAGTGGGGGAAGGGAGGATTCCCTATTGTTTGGAACAGACCAATAGATTACAGTATTTTAAGCTAAGGATGGGCTGGAGGGCTAACCTCAAACCTGGCCAGCACTGCCCCAGCCCTGATGTGAGTACTAGATACGAGGTGGCTCAAAGATCTCCCTCAAAAAAAGCAAAGTAAGGTGCAAAGCCATCTGCATTGCCACTTGTCATTGGTATATAAAAAGGGAGGACAAAGAATACATACCCATACATGTATTTTTAAAAAATTCTCTGCAGGCCAGGCACAGTGGCTCACGCCTGTAATCCTAGCTCTCTGGGAGGCCGAGGCAGGCAGATTGCTTGAGGTCAGGAGTTCGAAACTAGCCTGAGCAAGAGTGAGACCTTGTCTCTACTATAAATAGAAAGAAATTAATTGGCCAACTAATATATATAGAAAAAATTAGCCGGGCATGGTGGTGCATGCCTGTAGTCCCAGCTACTTGGGAGGCTGAGGCAGGAGGATTGCTTGAGCCCAGGAGTTTGAGGTTGCTGTGCGCTAGGCTGATGCCACGGCACTCACTCTAGCCAGGGCAACAAAGTGAGACTCTGTCTCAAAAAAAAAAGAAAAAAAAAAATTCTCTGCAAAGATACTTAAGAATTGAAAAAGAGTTGCTGCTGCCTGTGGGTTAGGGAAACAGATAACTGATGTGTATGTGTGTGGAGGGGGTAGGTTTTTCCAATCCCATAAACTTCTTGCATTTTGAGCTGTGGGGCTGTATTTTTGGTTCAAAGAATTAAATTGCATAAGAGGGAAAAAGTACAGTGGATAATTTCCGAAGGTTGTGAGTTTGAACCGCATCTGTCTTGCTTGAAACCGTAACCCAAGGCTCAGACACAAAAAGACACATGACCTTTCTGCAGCTTTATCACCATAGCCAGCAAGTCTTCAGTCTTCTCTGAAGACTTGGCCTGCCCTGCGGAGATGAAAACCAGAATTACAGGACCCAGTGACAGTGAGAGTGGACTGAGAAGGGAGTAAAGACGTTTCAGTGGGCTTTTTCAGACATGCCTGGGCCGGGGCTGAAAATGGGCTGAGGCACAGGTTTCCAGCCAGAGCAGGGCCCCTGCAGAAACCCTGTACCTTGTCCCTGAGGTTTGCGGTGTGTGCTGGATGAATCAGGACCCCTAAGGGTCAGCTTATCCCTGAGAGGTCAAAAGATACCACAGACGTCCCATTAATGAAACTCTGGGGTGAGAGAAAGAGAAACATTTTTGCTGTTGCTACCATTCAAGATCATTATGAAGTTCGAACCAATGCAATAGGGCAGGGAGATTTCATAAGAATTTCTTTAAAATAATTATAGCTCATCAACTACAAATTCTTAACAAACTGATAGATCTAGGCAATAGTTATAAATGGCTGCTGACATCAAGAAAAAACAACTAAATATTATGAGCCACTTAAGGGAAAAATACAACACTACCAATGGAAGACTTTTGTCCAAAAATTCCTACACAAAACAAAAAAATGGAGTCTCATCAGGCTTCCATGTTTAAAATACTAATTCAGAAAAAGTACAAACGGCAGACAAACATGTTAAATGACACCATTGGGGATGCAATCAACATCATGCAGGCTGTGGGAAACTCCATACAAAAGCCTGGTTTCTTCAATGAACAGACTGCCAAAAACAAAAAAAAAAACAAAAAAAACACACAAAAAAAGACGAGGGAGAGGGAAAATCCTATAGACTAGAAAAGTCCTGAGACATATATCAACCAATTGCAATGCATAGACCCTATTTGGATCCTGATTCAAACAAACACAATTTCACCACGTAAACTTCTCTATATGTTTTAACATGAGCCCATGCTACTTTTAACATTCAAATGACACCACCACCAAAAGACCCCCAGGAAAATATTAACATGTTAAAAACACCTTAAACTCTTGAAATCAATGATAGAAGATCAAATGCCAGTGACCCACTACTTTCCAAGGAAAACTGGGCAGAGAAAATGAAAAACAGCTCACAGAACACATGATAGCCAAAAAGTTAATGACCAAATGTTTACCCACAATAGGCTACAGTGAAAACTCCATCTCTCTCAGACCCTAAATTCCTCAATTCCCCTCCTCAAAGGCCACTGGCATTCCAAGCTATTTGTGGGTACATGGGGACAATTCAGTTCATATACAAACATACATCTCGCTTTTTTTTTTACATACATGGCAGCATGTCATATACGATGCTCCACAGCTTGTATTTTTCATCTGACAATGTATGCTGGTGATCTGTATATTCGTTCTAGTGGCTGCATGGTGTTCCACTGTATGGATATACCATAATTTAAGAGCAGTATCATGGATACTGCTCTGATGGATATTTAGGTTGCAAGCAATGCGACAATGATCATCTGTATTCATCTTCTTGGGCTGTCATAACAAAGCATCACAAACTGAGTCTTCTTCTTGGCCTTAAATCTTACTACGGCCTTCCCCAGATATATTAACAATAATCTTTAAAATAGGTTGGTATGTTTCCTCTTGAGATCTTTTAATGTTTAAAATATTCTTAAATATTTGGAAATAAAAACAATTAAAGCCATTTTAATAACAATAGACAGGAGTGTTTGCAATTGTTTCTTTTTAATACTTTACTATGAAAACTTTCAAATGCACATGAAAGTAGAAAGGATACTATAATGAACTGTGATGTACTCATAGCCCAGATCTTACATTCATTAATGTTCACCCATATTTGCTTCAGCTATTTTTCCTGTATTGAAGTGTTTTCAAGCAAGCCTCAGACTTCTTGGCATTTTGTCATCAGATACTTCATTAAGAGTCTCAACTACTTAAGGGCATTTTCTTAGATGACCCCAATCCTCTAATCATGCCTGACAAGAGTAATACTCATCATGTACCATCACCCAATACCCAGACACTGTGCAGTTTCCCCCGGCTGTCCTCACATCTTTTACAGGTGGCTTCTGTGACCACTTCTGCAAAAGTGCCATCTGTGCTTTTGCTCTCCACTGCTTTGTAGTGCCAGTCAGGAAATAACATCGAAAGTGAGTGACAGGTAAATCTTTTAAGTAATCTGACACCTTGATAAACATTTTTTAAAATGTCCATGTTACAAAAGAAAACAGCCCGTTGAGTATAAGCACCCTTTTAAACATTTTATTTTGAAATAATTTCAGATGTACAAAGTTGTAGAAATAGGCCACAATGCTCCCATTTTCCCTTATACCAGATTCCCCATTTGTGAGTGGTTCTGAACCGTAAATTGCAGACATCTTGGCCCATTACTCCTTAATATTCCAGCATATATATCCTACCAGGTAACTGCAGTATATAGCTGATATATATCCTACCTGTATATATTTGATATATACCTGATATATATCCTTCCAGGTAACTGCAATCTACCAGGTAACTGCAGTATAACCATCAAAACCTGGATGTTAATATTGATCCAATATTAACATAAGATCCTCAGATGCCTTCGAATTTTTCCTCTTTTACCCTTATATTTTAAAATTATATAGTACTAACTTACGTTTTTCTAAAAAAAAAAAAATCAAAAAAATACCTCCACTTCTGCACCACCCAAAAATCCAAGTCCCTTGTCCACAGATACCACTTAGGCCTTTAGCCTCCAGACAAACCTTCTGTGCAACACACATAGGGCTATACCCCTTTCCTTTATTGCTTCAATCCCAAATGGCTTTTCTCTAATAAAAATATGATCTCCTCTGCAGCTTATTCCATGTCTATATACAATGACCTTATCCATTTACAATTTAATTTTAATTAGCTCAAATTAAGTTTGAATTTAATTATTTTTGCCTCTTAAAAAAATCCATTGTATAGACATTCTACAGTGTGCATGGATATACCTCGACTTAGCCATTTCTGTGATTGTTCCTTATGTTTCGTCTCTATCACCAGCACTCTGGTGACCATTCCTGGTCCTTGTATGCATGAATCCCCCTACGATTACCTAGGATATGACTGCAGATGTGGAATGGCATTTTAGATGCTAAAAATACTCTGCCAAACTGCATCTAGCAAAGCTTTTACTGGCCCGTTCTCCCTGTGAAGCAAGAGAAAGTCTGTTTCATCAATGTTAAGATATTATCCCTCCCTTTATAAAGCCAATTTGATGGGCTAGGAATTGTAACTTGATACATTTTTCAACTTTCTCCTTTGCTGGTGATGTTAATTATAACTTCAATTTTGAGGAATTTGAAAGGTTGATACTAAAAGTTGTTGTTTTTTTTTAATCACAATAGCAGCTATATTATATGCTAAATAAATGGGATCTATTTGCATCTGTCTTATTTCCATCTGTCTTTTGTTGAATGCCACAAGTGGCTCTAATCTAAAAGAGCTTGCTGTTTTAAAGTTATCTCATGATTCACGCATTAAAGAATTACTGAGCACCTATTATATGCCACGCAGGGACTGCTTTAGGTGCCCGGGAAACAGTGGCAAATAGTCTCTGTTCTCATGGAGCTCACATCCTACGACAGACAATAAACAATAATCACTTTTTTGATGTCTGTATGGGTGGGTCTGGCAGAATGCAATCTAGTATGTTTATTAATATAGCAGTATTAAGAGTATGCAGAAAGGGGAGTTAGATAAAAGGAGGGCAAAAGTCGACAACTGTTGAACCAGAGTGATGGGTACAGACATTCATCATGCTATCTTCTCTACTTTGGTACGTTTTGAAAACTTCTATTATGAAAAAATGCTAGTGGCATACCAGAGGATTATTGCCTTGGGAGATTTTTTTTTTTCTTTTGGCTGAACTGCAACTTCCAGTAGGCTCTTTCTAGGCCAAATCCCCACCCTCAGGGGTTGAGGTGTTATTATTCAAGTCAGTACCCTGGAGAAAAGAAACTGTCTTGGAGGGAGGCCATTTTCTATTAGGAGAGTTAAGAGTCCATGCAAAGTGTGATGTGGGCTGGATGGGAAATGATATCGGGGAATTCCTGCTAATTTTCTTAGGGGTGACTGCAGCAGGGTGATTTTTGTGAAGAACATCCCTCCCCCCTTTTGTTTAAGAGATGCATATTGAACTATTTATTGTTTACTTTTAAATAAGCAATATATTCAATAAAGTTGACAAGAGTTAACCTAAGTGATGAGAATGTGCATGTTATTTATCTCCATTTTGTTGAACGGTTAAAAGTTACAAAAGGCTTAAAATTTCACTTAAAAAAGAAAAAAAAAACCTACTGCTATCATTGTTTCATAATTGTAATAGTTGGAATCCTTCCACCTTTCTACCCTGGTCCGGAGAGAATTGCAGGCCGCTTGCCCTTACTACCTTCAGCCTCCTCGGTGGCTTCTGGCGACTCCACGCTCAAAGGCTCCAACTTCCCCGCCATTATTCCAACGTGGGGCTTGCGCATGCTCCTTACACGATGATTGGCTAAAAAGAAACCACAGGTGAGGGTAGACGGCCCTACAGTGCGCATGCGTGCAGACCACGCTCGCGCCATCAGTTGACCACACTGGAAGAGTCACGTGTCCACTCTGGGCAAGCGCAGAACACCCGGTGAACCAGATTGACGACGCGCATGCGTACAACCACGAAGGGCTGTACTCCACTTTAGACAAACAAGGGCAGAGCCAGGTTATTGGCCAGTCAGGGTACGGGCTGTGCTCACGCGGACAAAACTTCAGGGCTGTCTCTCCGGCTTTGGGTTGCTCGCGTTGTGCTTGTTGTAGGTCTGGGATCCATGTGCGTGTGCTGTTTGGTGGTACACAAGAGTTCAAGTCCCTTTTTCTTTACAAATCTTCATTGAAGAGTTTATGAGAGATTAGTTATCTCCGTTTTAGGGATGAGTAAAATGAGCCTTAGAAGCTAAGGGTACCTCCTACGTAAAAATGCTAGATCTCAGCCCGTGTGAAGTCACGTGCTGTACACCCTGGGTTACACAGGTGGACACAAGGCCACCTGCTTACTGATCTTAGCAGCAGCCAGCATCGATGGGGGTCATTTGGAGCAGGGTAAAGATCAACAGAAGTACATGAAGGGCAACGGAAGGAAGGGCCTCTTAAGGGTTGGTTTTAGGCCTTTTATGAACAGTTTTTTCTTTAAAATACTCTCAGGCCAGTTCCAGGGACAGGCTGGCCCTGCGTTCCCATTCCACAACCCTGATGGGCCACACCAGAGCCCTAGGCCAGCCCTGGACACTCAGGGCTGAGTTTCCATCGAGGAGGCAGACCCCTAAAGCACGTTTGGAGGGGACAGCCCCCGATAGAGGCCAGGACACCATCCAAATGGAAGAGGTGAAGCAGAGGGAAGGCAGAGGGAGGCCTAAGGATTTCCCGAGAGGTGGAGATGCATGAGGTGGCTGGGAGAGCATCCTGCTCACCTGGCTGTTGCCACCCATCTCTCTGTTGTCAGCAGGCCCTCAGATCTTGCCCCATTGCTCAGGGAGACAATGACCTGCTAGAGACACACCCCCACCCACATTTCCAGGGTGGAGACAGAAGGTAAAAACCAAAGGTGGTTGCTCCAAGCACTGCCCAGTCTGAGAGCTCTGTTCCTCAGAGTCCAGTGAACAAGCCATTATGGGGAGCTTGGTCCGCAGAGGTGGCTGGTGGCGTGGAGTACTTGGGTGGGTAACGAATGAAGAGCCGGTCCTCCTCTTTCCTCACCCAGCGCAGGAGTTTGGTCACTACCAAGATCGCACCTGCCTTGGTCACCAGGGGACTGAGGCAGGTATAGAGCTCAAATTTGGAGGTCACCTGGGGAATTGGGAAGAGGCAGAGTCAGATGGGCCAGAGCTGGCCATGGACAATCCTGTCTTTCCCGACCCAGCCCCATGTCTGCCTCCTGCAGCTTAGAAGATGTACCGGCAGCAAGCCCCAGATCCCAGCTGCTGCTGCCTGGACACTAGGCTGAGGGAGGTAAGCTTTTATTATTGTGTCATCCGTGGGCTATGGGTTCTCTGTTGAGCCGAGGGGTCAGATGGACCTACTGGCTTCGACTAGGTGATGCTGGCTGTGTGTATGTGTGTGTATGTGTGTGTACGTACCCTCTGGACCTCAGTTTGCTCATCTGTGGACTAGGGATAACAATAACAATGATATTTAACATTCCGTGAGTAACTGTTGTATACAAGATCCTGCTGTAAGCTCCACACACATGCTTGCATCTACAGCCTGAGCATAATATAAAGAGGAACTCAATCCTCACACCAGCCTGCTAGACCCAACCTCACCAGGTCAGCAACAACTTCTCTGTGCCATGTCCCATTGCTCTCCTTTTCACTCTCTGTTCCAGATACCCTAGCCTTTCTTTGCTGTTCCTCAAGTACAGCCAGGCTCAGTCCCATCTCATGGCCTCTGCAGTGCTTTCCCTCTGCCAGGTGTATCTTCCTCCAGATACTCGCATGGTCCCCACCTCCCCTCTCCATTTAGACGCCATCTCCTAGGGGAGGCCTCCCCTAACCACCTGACTTAAAATCCTGAGTCTGCCATATCTTGCTTTTTAAATACTAGTCTCCACTAAAAGGTACAAGGGATCCTTGGAAAAATGACTGAGTCCAGGACAGGTGCAGAGAATGTCAAGTAAGATGTGCTCACACAGTGGGAAGGACGTGTCAAGGAGACACAAGGACCAGCCTGGTAAAATTAGAGACAATTGGAACACCAAAATAAAGGATTTTAGTCCACTGAATTAAAGAAAAACCGATGAGAGTATACTGATATAAAATTAAAATTCAACAATGGGAGAAAGAAAAGTTCTTCCTTATGATAGAATCTCAACCGATAAAGATAGAAAGAATGATGGAGTTAGAAAAATCACCACCTGGCAAATTTGTGGGTAAAAGTATAATGAAAAACAGGACACTGACTTAATCACCACAGGTATTACTAATGAAAATGGGGAAAATACTAACTTTATACCGGAGATATGTGGAAGATGTCACTGTAACTACATGATCAAAGGTGATAGCATCAACAGTGGGAAAGACTGACATCTTCTGCCTCCTGATATGATGCAAGGATGGGCACAGCGCCACTCCGGGGTGCTCTTGCCAAAAATGCATGGCCTCGATTTACTCATGATACATTAGAAAAACCCAAGTTAAGGGACACTCTATAAGCTACCTGGCTGGTACTCTACAAAAGTGCCAAGGTCATGGGAGACCAAAAAGAGTGAGCAACTGCTCTGCAATAAACAAGACTACGGAGACACAATGAATCAACCTGACATGGGATCCTAGACTGGATTGTGGACCAGTGACAGGAATGAGTGGGCCACTTGGTGACAGCTGCATGAAACCTGTGGATTAGATGTTATTGTACCAATGTTAATTTCTCAAGTTTGTTAAGTAGTTATACAAGATATTAACTTTTGGAGAAACTAGGTAAAGGACCTCTTTCTAGTAATTCTTTATAGTATTTTTGCAACTTCTTTTGAAATCCAAAATTACTTGAAAATGAAAGTTAAAAAAAAATTGAAAATATAATGATCAGCCTAGATCAATGCCTGATACACAACAGACAACAGTAAATTATTTAATAAATATGTGCTAACTGGCAGAGCCTGGGGGAAGGTGCCATTTCCATTGAGGTTACCTTCACTGGCCTCGCTGAGTAGCTGACCTTTAACAAACTCATAGAAAATGAGAGCTGGAACCCAGGGGAGACCCCAGGAGAGGATACCCCAGGATACAGAGCACAGCATGGGTCCAAGCCCGTAGCATTCAGAGAGTGCTGGGGACTCACGGAGTCAAAATGAGCTGGTGGCTAATGGGGTACGTCCAGACACACAGGAGGGGCTGAGCATAAATCAGCAGGCACAGAGATGGCTGTTAATGGGGCCTCTTGAAAGTCAGAGACTGGACGGGTTGCTAAGAGTGAGGTTAGTGAAGGGTTGCAGACACTGTGACTAGTTGTTCTGGGTTTCAAAGACACGTGTGAGGGACAGGCAAGGCATGTCCCTCAAGGCAGGGGGCTATGCAGGCAAGGCATAGCCCAGGTAGAGGCCTCGTGTGGTTAATGGAGGTGCCACAGCTGGAAGGGACCCAGTGTAGAAAAGGGAGGCTTGGAGTGGGGAATTAACTCACTGAGAGCCCTGCCCAACTCACCCAGGCCAGCAGCGTCTCCTTCTCAGCCACGTGGTAAATGAGGCGCAGGGGTCGGGAGGCGCTGTGGAGGCGGGCGTGCAGGCGGTGGTACAGGTCCGACAGCCGCTGCCGCTCCTCCTCTCTGCTGTATGGGGCCTCTAGCTCAGGGCTGCCATGCCGGAGGGAGGTGGAAGGCACAGTTAGTCCAGGGCTTTCTTGGCTGCCCCATCTCCTCACTCTAGGGATTCCAAATAAGTCAGGGAGCTGAGCCTCTCCCACTAGATTGGAGAATTTTCGGTGATTGGAGGCCAAGCTTTCCCCATCAAATTAGGGGACTCCCTGAGTACTGGGCCCTTCTCTCCACTAGAACAGGGGGATACTTTTAGGTCTGAGGTTGAGCCTCCATCATCAGGCAGAGACTTGTTCTGTTCCCTCTTTCTAGAGCACGGCGCGCTGTCTCTCCTGAGTCATGTCTACGAGATGCTGAACTTGTTTAGACAAACCTTTCCACCTAGCCAGTTGCCCAAAGGGTCAGGGCCTACCTGGTAAACTGGGGCAGCTGGCGGTGGTGGTCAGGGATGTCCAGCGGCTTATAGAGGAAGTGCCGGAGGCCAGGTGCCCCCACAGCCTGCACGCTGTAGGCAGGAGCGTTGCCTGATGGGGCATTAGAGAAGCTGACAGCCTCCCCAAGGGCACGCATGGCACCGAGGGCACGCATCCCATCCTCGACCAGGCGCCGGCAGGCGGCCATGGCATGGAAGGTTTCACGCTGGGTGCCCAGCAGCAGCAGACAGACAGGCATGGCATCCAGGCGGGCCACATAGGCATAGAAGAAACCATCGGGGTTGAAGCGGGGCAGGCACACGGGTGCCCACGCCTCGCCTGCGGCAAAGGCTGGTGCGCCCACCCAGTCGAGCAGCAACTGCAGGTCAGCTGGGTCCAGCCGGCACTCGGCCAGCACATTCCGCTCCTGGGCTGCTGTTATCAGTCGACCGCCAACTGCCAGCACCGACAGGGCCAGGCCGGGTGCTGTGCAACGTCGGAGCAGCGCACCCAGCGCGTCCCGCATCGGGCGGGCGAGGGGCACGCAGCGCACGGCGCCTAGGAGCAGGGCACCTGGATCTTGCTCCACGCTGTCCAGAAGTCGGTCCAGTGTGCGCTCTGAGCCGGCCAGCAGGCGGCGGAGGTCGTAGTTCTGCTTGTGAGCGAAGATGCGGGCGACACTCGCACGTGTCAGTGTGCTCACGATCTGCGCGTGCACAGCTAGCAGCTCCCCTCGCAGCTGGGCTGCTGACTGAGGAGTCCGTGACACGGCCACCAGCAGCAGTGGGCCCTGCTGTAGGAACACCAGCTTGTGGTCCTCTGGGGGAGGGAAGGGGTGGGCCAGGGGTGGGTAGAGATGGATCAGGAGTGACCAGAGGGGGACAGGCAGGGCTCTTCTGCCCTCCCCCCAACACACACACATTTGTCCTGAGTCCAGGCAGTCACCCAGACTGGGGTAAGCTGGGGGAGTATAGACATGCGCAGAGACATCGTGGGGTAGCCAAGAGATCAGGTAGGTTAGACACACAGCACAGAGCACGGGTGGGGAGACACGGAGCAAGGACTGGCACAACAGAAAGACACCCAACAGCCACACAGCCCCCTCAGGCATGCTCCCAGGCAACAAGAAAGTAGCCAGCTAGTCACTAAGATGCCAGGGGGTCAATAATTCAGAACCCAAAGAGATGGACCCTCCCACCCACCACGACAGAAAGACCCATGGCTGGCCATCCACACACGCTCACTCACCCCTGGCTGGCTGGATAGTGCTTCAGGCAGACAGACAGACAGACCTACCCATGGCATATTAGACAAACCTCCAGCCAGCCATGTTCCCAGTCACTGTCCCCCATTCTGCCTCCCAGGTGTTTGCTCACCAGCGTAGATGGCACGGATGGCATCACCTGCACTCTGCACGAAGGACACCAGGGCTGTCATCACACCCATGGTCGCTGACAGTGCCTCCACACTACCGTACCGTGAGTAGATGGGCTTGCCAGCCTCGCTCAGCACAAACACATGCTTCCGCTGGCTGCGCCAGTCCTCATCGGTGGGATCCCCTCCCTGGCCTCCGGAGCCACTCTCAGGGCTACCCATGGGACTACTCTCAGGGGCTCCAGGACCCCAGAGCTGACAGGTGCTTGATGGGGCCTCTGACTGGGGCAGTGGTGACAGGCTGGGTGGCTGGTCCTTGGCCGTGGATCCTGAAAGGGATCATCTGCCTATGTAACCTCTATTAACTCCATGTTCCCAAGGACCCACCAAATCTCTACCAGTCCCCCAGTGACCCCTACATGCTGACACGGACCTCCAAATGTCTCCTCTACCCCTCAATGACCAATGACTACCCTAGGACCTCCCTGAGACATCCACTGACTCTCCTGACTTCTTTATTCTCATCGAAATCCTCTCCCCTCCCCAAAATAATCACCATAATATCCATTAACACACAGATTTTTATAACATCCGCTGCCTTTCCCAGTGACCATCATTACTATCCATTTGCAACTACGTTTTTATAATTTTCCCATAAAATCTCACTGACTGCTTATTCTCTCATTTTCTCGTTGACATTCACTGACACGCCATGTCCTCAAATACCAATCATCTCCTCTCAATAACTGCCATTACCTGCCAATAATTCCCAAGTCCTCAAAGACCCCCCCCATTTATTCTCAGTTATGTCCAATGATCCTCCCCAATGACTCCTTTTCTCAGTGACTTCCACTGATTCCCCCAGTGAACACCTTTACACATCCTCTATGTGTCCACTAACATCTGAGTCTTCAAAAACTCTTCTACTGATCCCCTGACTCTTCAAATAATTTCACTTATGCCTGCCCCATTACCATTAAAATCCACTCACATTTGATTCCTTAAAGACTTCCTGACAACCTACCACTGATATAAATACTGTGAGTGCCCAGGGAACCCCACCGATCCCCTTTACCACCTCAGTGTTAACTCCGTATCCCCAGAGACATTAACTTCTAAATAGTCTTCTTGGCCCCTACTGGCTTTCTTTAGCTCATGCATTTACCTAAACATCCTAAATCCCCAATAACCCTCTTTGACACCAACAGCCCCTTTTGATTCCTTGATGACCTAAACTCACACCAAATCTCCAGTGAAAATCTGTTGACATCCAATGACTTCCTTTTCATTCCTCAGTGATTTAAACTACACGAGTCCACAGTGATCTTCTACTGACCTGGCTATGGTTTAAGCAACTTCCCCCTGAACTCCAAAAGATCCCTTACTGGTCTCCCATTGACCTTTCCCCGCAACTCAACCCACCCCACCCCTAGCCCACCAGTGCCAACCCTTAGGGATTCCTTCCAAGGCCCCAGAGAGGGGAGAACATACCTGTTTCCTCCAGCCCCCCGTCTTCTGGATCCGGCGGGCCAGGGTGAACCCCTCCATGGTCTTCAGTCTGCTCACTGGGGATCCGCATGTCCTCCAAGTCTTCCACGACCCCAGGGGCTGGGGCAGCAGTGTCTCCTCCGGCCTCCATCTGCACATCCCTGAGGGAGAGGGGAATCGAGGGTGACGAGCAGCAAAAGAAACTTCTTAAAAACCTTTATAGAGTCAGGTCCCCTTGGACACTGCTCGTTTCCCCACGTCTTCAACAGGATGAGTCATTCAAAAACATGAACAAATACTTGTGCCCTCCAACACTTTCCAAAAAGAGGACTCTATCGGGCTCAAGAAAAGAAGACACAAGAACACCTGTTTTAACACCGTATCTCAATTCGCCGGATACCATTACTTCCCCGTAGCGGCGGTAGCATCACACTTCCGGGTGCGGCTGGTGATTTGCCACACTTCCGGGTGCGACACCTCCCAGAAGACACTTCCGGTTGCGGAGCTTCATTCGCTCCCCGCGGCGCCCCTCTCCCGCAGCCTACGGGCGTTCCCTCACAGTTGAAATGTCGCGGGCTACTCCCTGGTCTACGACGGATCTGATCGGGAACCCACTGAGCCCCCTCTGAACGCCTTTCCACCGAACTGGCTACAGCTGCCAACAGCGGCGAGCGCGGCCCACTGCTTGTACGGATAGCTGTTGGCGTGAGGGGGGCGCGGCTCGCTTTAGCCAATCCCGGAGTGCAGGGGGCGGGGCCTCCTCATTTCTGGCCCAATCGAGAGAAACCGGCTCTCCCAGCTGTCATCCCTCCCACCCTGCCCCGAGTAGTACTTCGGCCAGTACTGCGCGTTGTCTTGCGTTTGTACCCGCCCATCACTTGACTGACATCTTTCCGGACCCAATAGAAGGTTTGGACCTATTATTCTCCTCTCTCGAGGACTCTTGCAGCCCACGTCCTAATGGATACCTGTGCCGGACCCCAACAAACGTACTCCTCCAGAATTGAGGCAACTTCCCCTTCCCTTGTGCACCAAGAAAGGCATGGGTGGGGTAAGGTGGGGTAGAGAGGAGAGAAATAAATGCTTGACGGGCAGCCGCCCCTTCCAATCAGCGTGCCGCGCAAGTCTGTTCAGCCTATAGGACTCGGACGCTAAAGTGAAAGGCAGGCCTCTCAGAAGTAGGAAGTGTTCGTGGGCGTTTCTGTATTCAGTCAAAGGGCTCGGCAGCCTCTGCAAAAACGGAAGCCTGAGCCACAGACATACCCGTGACGCCAGGGAATTGGGTTGCAAAGACAAAGCTCAGGCTGATTGGTATGTGTCCAGACCCGCAAAAGGCCCGGCTGCCCCCACGTGCGTCGGCGGGGTCTGTGGGCGGAGCCATGCAGATTACAGCCCAGGACTAACGGAGTAAAAATATGGGCGTGGCCTCGAGAGACCTCTGAACCCTGGTTGGCTGAGGACAAGGCCGCGGCCGCCTTGGTGAGCCACCATTGGCTGGATTGCCAGAGGGAGGCGGTACTATCTGACAGTTTTAGTGTGTGGGCGAGCGCGGGTGTAGACGCGCGGGCTCTGGACTGCCCATCTTCTTTGCTCTGGTGTCTCTATGCCTCTTCCTGCGACCACTCAGTCTCTGAGTCTCGCTGTCTCTGTCTGCGTCTCTGCATCTCTGTGTTCTCTTCTTATTTATCTCCAGCTCCTTCTGTCTCTGTCTCTTCCCCTAGGTCTTTGTGTCTCTCAGTTCTTCTTTAGTTTTCTTACCGGTATTTCGCTAGTTTTCCGCCTTCTCTCTCTGCTCAGAACAGTGGCGTCCGCCAGGAGCCCCACGAGGGCCTATTGGAACCTTCAGCTCTGTCACCCGAGGATTCAAAGGATTCCTGGAACTGGAGGAATATTCCACTGGCCCTGGGCAAGGGCGGGGCACTTTTGCAGAGGGAGGAGGACGCAGTGGGCGATCACCAGGTGCTGGGCCGGCCAGACTCTCTCCTGGGCTGCTGGGCGAACAGGTGGTCACTTCCTGCGATCGGTTTGGGAAAAGGTGTGGGAGATGGGAAAAGGAGCAAGGAAGCTGTGTGGACCCATGGAGACAAGTGGACCATGGAGGCAAGTCTGGGAGCCCAGGGTTCGAATTCCCGCGCCGACGCTGCTTGTGGACTGAAAGCCCCCTTGAAGAGGGCTACCAAGAGCCTCGCGCCTTGGTCCCCCGCCCTCACCCCGTGAAACAATGGCATGACATTATCCCTCCAAGATGAAAGATAAGTTGCATCTCTCACTACCACACACACACACACACACACACACACACACACACCACAATGCTTGTGTTTTAGTTGACTTGGGCTATCATAACAAAATACAATAGATTGGGTGGCTTAAACAACAACAACAAAAATTATTCCTCACGCTCTGGAGGCTGGGAAATCCAAGATCAAGAGGCCAGCAAGGTAGTTTTCCATCTCTCACTACCACACACACACACACACACACACCACAATGCTTGTGTTTTAGTTGACTTGGGCTATCATAACTAAATACAATAGATTGGGTGGCTTAAACAACAACAACAAAAATTATTCCTGATGTTTTGAAGGCTGGGACATCCAAGATCAACAGGCCAGCAAGGTAATTTTCCTTCTGAGGCCTCTTCACTTGGCTTGTAGGCAACTGCCATCTCACTGTGTGTTCATATGACTTTTTGTCATGGGAACACTTATGACAAAGAGAGCAAACTCTCTAGTGTCTCTTTTTATAACAGCACTAATATCAAGAGGGCCTCATGACCTAATTACCTCCCCAAAGGGCCCATGTCCAAATACCACCACATTGGGGGGTTAGGGTTCCAACACATGAATTTGAGGGGGACATAACACGTTTATAACAGTTTGGTAGGCTTTTTTAGATTGTGGAGGGAACCCATACCACATTTTAATGTGTGAACTTGACCCATTTACAGAGTCACCTATAGGTTTCAAATGGGGACCAGAGCAAGGAAAGCAAATTCAGACTGCAGAATGAGCTCATCTGGCATGTGGTGCTTATGACCCGGCAGACCCAGTGACATTCAAACTGTCCCTGGCAAATAGGGATGCTTTGTGGAGCATGTGACAAGCACCAGTAGGAAAAACACTGCAAAGACCTCTAAAATTTCTGGACAAATCTATGCTCTCTTCTGTAGGTAACTGTTCTCCTTCTGAATAGGCTTGGTACAGGGCCTTGGTAAAGACTGAGCACCTAACTATGGTATGTTCTTTGATTATGATAGTATTAAAATATAAATCATTAGCAAAAAAATATCTAGGAAATCTCCAAATATTAGAAATTAAAACAGCATACTTCACATTAACACATGGATCAAATGATAAACCTCATGGAATATTATAAAATATTTTGAACCAAATAAAAATAAAAATACAGCAAGTAATATAGAGGGATGCAAAGTAGTGCTTATAAGAAAATTTACAACTCTATATATTTATATAAATATGAAGAAATGTGCATAATCAATGATCTACAGGTGAACCTTAAGAAGCTGGACAACAAACAGGAAATTAAACCTTAATTAAGAAATAAGGAAATATTAATAATAAAGAGTGAAAGTCAATAAGATAGAAAACATACAACCAAAAGAGGAAATCAGTACACCAATATTTGATTTTTTGAAAATGTCAATAAAATTTCTAAAACTTGAGCTTAAATGGTGAAACAGAAAGGAGATAAATGACCAATAGCAGAAATGAAAGAGACAACATGATTTAGATCCCATAGACATTACATGGATAGTTAAGGAATAATATGAAAAATTTGATGGCAACAATTTTGATGACCTAGATCAGGTGTCCTCAAACTATGGCCTGTGGGCCACATGTGGGTGTTTTTGCCCGTTTGTTTTTTTACTTCAAAATAAGATATCTGCAGTGTGCATAGGAATTTGTTCATAATTTTTTAAAACTATTGTCCGGCCCTCCAACAGTCTGAGGGACACTGAACTGGCCCCATTTAAAAAGCTTGAGGACCCCTGACCTAGATAAAAGGGAAAACTTATCACAAGAAACCAATATAAATATTTATTCACAAGTAACTTAGAAATCTGAAGTGCTCTATATCATTGAATAAATTGGATTTATAATTTAAAAATTTTCCCGTTAAACAATTCCATGCCCAGATGGCATCAGTGGTGAATTCAAATATTTAAATAATAAATATTACCAACTTTATACAATTTTGTTCAGAAAAGCAAGGAAGGGGGTACACTTTCCAATTCGTTTTATAATTTGAGAATTACCCTGATGATAAAGGTAGAACAAACATTATAAAAATGAGAAAGCAGACCAAATTCCTTCACAAATATGGATTCAAAAATCCTTCGAATATTAAATTCAGCATATTGCCCTATTAAAGGTGAAGAAGAATATGACAAAATTTGATGCCTTTTCATTATAGACATTCTCATCAACTAGGACTAAAAGAAACTTCATTAAGTTGATACAGAACATGAAAGAAAAATCTGCAGCTAACTTTGTCCTTTATGGAGAAAGACTGACAACTTTCTCCCTAAGATTGGGGGAAAATCAAGGATGCCTCTTTTATGCAAGGTTACACTGGGTATTTAAAGGTACTGTTAATAGGAAATAAAAAGAAATAAGAAACCTAATCAATTAAATATGAAATCTTCTTCACACACTAGTCTAGTCTTTGATCGAGTAGATTGATACAGTAGCATCAGAGTGGAGAAGATAGATATTTCACTTTATCTTTATACTAAAGTTCCAAATACAATAAGATTTCGATTTGCCATTATTGTGATGAAAATAACCTATACACTACACACACAAAAAATGTTAAAACTAGCTGACCTTCGTACAGAAGGGAGCGACAGAACACAAAGAAACATCCCCACTACAACATCCTCTACCATAGACTACTATGCTAGTAAATATAAAATCCTAAAACTTAAATGCCATATGAGCTGGAGCGAAGAACTAGGGACGTACATGACATTAAGGAAAGTCCTGTTGGAAATCTAAAGACTCCGCACACACTCCTCCTGCCCCACAAAAGACGTTAATATACTCTTTCAGCGCGTCCCGTTCAATGTATTGCTACATTGGATTTTTATCGGCACTCATGGAGAAACAAAGGAGACGAGTATGTGAACAAATACAAATAAAACCCATAAGACTTTGATAAAGGAGATGAAATAACTCTAAACTCTACCTATTAATTGCTGTTTTTCACAACCTATAGAGAATTTCTGCTGCTTCGATCCAAATTAGGGAATGTCTATAATACAGATACTATTTCTCATCAGGTGAGACACACACATGACCTAAAAAGCATCACTTGTATCTCATACTAGTCACGATTTAAGGCAGATGTCCTAATCATAGTCTCATTTGCTATCCATATACCATCCTCTACTCCAAAGAAGCTTACTGCCCTGTTATCTGAGTCATTCCTGGACAACCTGAATAGACAATTGATAGAACTACGTTCGCAGGGAGCACTCTACTTCCTAGATCTGAGTAACTGAAATTCTGCGAGTACAAGATCGCATGTGAGGCATGTGAACAACTGACAGAGTGAACCCTCATTTCAGAGAAGCCATCTGCGTAAGAATTCTGTGTTCCTCCACATATATCAGACGTCTGCTTTAACTACATTATATGAGAAATTTCCATTGATCCTATTATTAAACGTAAAGGCCTAGAGTTCACAAGTAAGACTTTTGTATCTCCCGAATAGTATCACGTTTTAGAAGCCGTTATTTCACCCATTATGCTTACACAGAAACATGGAACTATCCATCCCATGGATGAAGACGCGAAAATCTCACAACCATTTTTCTCGCCATAAAAACACCTATGAAACTTTTCAGGCCTTTAAAGTTGAAAGAGAAATTTATTCCATCATTCACAGAGTACAACATTCAACACGCATTGGTTACGATTTAGAACAAGAAGTAATATACTATCATAGCTACAACGTTAACATAAACCGTTCACAGTATCCCTGGCAAAGATAAGGCAACAGTCAACCAAGGAAGAAGGCCAAACTAATGCGACCACATTGTACTTTGTATC